CGTGTATTGAAGGACGTTCTCAAAAGATTCTCCTCCAGCTTCTATCCCACAAACGCAGGTATTCCCCAAGGCTCCATCTTAGGCCCTACTCTGTTCCTTATCTTTATCAATGATCTTCCTGACGTCATAGATTCCCAAATACAATTTACTCCTGTCTCAAAAAAAAATCTAGTGTCGTTGACAAAACTAACATCTTGAAAAGGACCTCTAATCTGTTGAGAACTGGGACAGGCATTGGCTGGTTAAATTTAACGCCTCAAAAACAAAACTTCTCTCTATTATTCATCACAGAGAACCATACCTGCCCCCACCCCCATTAGAATGTCTGACGCTCAATTTCTCGAGAGCTACTCTTTGCGACAACTCGACCTCACATTGCATGCTGACCTGATATGGAACAAATACATTGAGTCAATAGCTTCGTCCACCGCAAGTAAAGTTGGATCCCTGTGCCGCGCCAGGAAATTTTTCTCGCCGGAGTCGATCCTTCAAATCTACAAATCAACTATTCGCCCTTGCATGGAGTATTGCTGCCATATATGGTCTGGTGCCTCTTATGTTTGTCTTAAGGTTCATGATAACATCCAGAGACGGATATGTAATGTAATTGTCCCTTATCTGGCATCTCGTCTGTAGTCGCTCTCTGACAGATATGACGTCGCCTCCCTCTGTCTTTTTTACAAATACTTTCATGGTAACTGCTCCGAGGAACTGCTTTCGCTGGTTCCCAAACTTCATGAATTTAAGCGTTCTACTAGGCTGGCATCTCATTCACACACTTTCACTGTCGAAACTGTTAAATATAGCCGTCTCTTCTACTCCAATAGCTTCATGTCTTGCAGCTCTTGCCTGTGGAACTCCTTCTCCTCTTCCTGTTTCCCTGATAACTATAATCTCCAACTATTCAAATGTAATGTCAATCCACATCTCCAGATTCCTTGATCTATCCCCATATCCTTCTCTTCATCCTTTCCTCTATCACTCCTATTTGCTCTCCCTCCAACTCTCTGTAACCCCTTGCGTGTTAGTGGCTTCTCGCCTTGCTTGGGTTGAAACGTTAAAAAAAATTATTAGTCTTCTTTTGGCAAAGTACTAGAAGCTTTCATAAACTCCTAATTGGTTAAGCATCTCATCTTCCAGAATGTTCTTTCACACAAAAAATAGCTTTCGCTTCTCTGGCCAATGTGTTGACGGTTACTGCTGAAATAATCTTGCAAAATTTAAACAAGAATAGAGACGCCCGGGCTGTTGTTTTAGATATCCTGAACGTAGTTGACAGGATTTGGCAAACTGTTTATATTCACAATTTGAAGGTTTATGCTGTTTTTGGTAAAAGCTTTGATTTGATGAAGCTTATTATTTTACAATAAGGCTGATGAACTACAGGGCTCTATCCTTGAATCTACATTGTTCCTAAGTTTGATCAGCGTCCTTCCAGATGTAATAAGTTAGCGATTCGGTATCTATTCTAGGGACATAACTTTTTACTCTTGTCTTAACGGCTGATAATTTTGATAAGGTCAAATCTTCAATGTGTTCCTCACTGGGAAATGGGTTGTTAACTTTAAGGCATCGAAAACGAAACTGCTTTCTTTTACTCGTCTTAGAAAACCTTGTTTTCCGTTCGATCAGTATAACCAATTCTAGCCTCCAGGAGGGTACCTCATTGCACCTCCTTGCACCTCTTACATAGATATGAAGTGCTATGACGACATCGATCAATACGTTGTTCTTGACAATTTTCCTCATCTTGCATTTTTATAGGTCTACAATTCATTAATGCATTAAATATTGCCGTTACATCTAGTCTAATAGCTCTGCTATATACGTTAAGATCTTGAACAAAATCCAAAGAAGAATCTGCAATATTCTTGGTCCCAACGTGGCATCTCTACTTCAATCACTTATCCATCGCCGCGACATAGATTCTCTCTGCCGTTTCTCTAAATATTTTCAAAGCAATTCTTCTGATGAGCTTTCCTCTTTGAAACTTCGCCTTCATGAATATAAGTGCAGTACGAGATTGGCAGCTAGGTCTCATCATTTTACTTTTGAAATTGCTAGATATCATCGTAAGTAATATTCTAATAGTTTATTCTCTGAATCATCTCACCTACGGAACTCTCAATATTTGTGTATATCTCTGAGATTAGGTATTATGATTATTTGCATTATTTATATTATTCGGATTGTTATCCTCATCATCGCCATATTCACAACGTTTCAGCCGTTCTAGGCTCCAGGTTTCTTTAGGTGATTATAATTTCGAACCGAACCCTTTATTTCGCCCACCGGCTGCCATGCCTCTTCCCTTTAGCTCAACTCCCCAAGTTTTGGGTCACCACTGCTGAACCAAATATTGAACTCACAAATCCTTGGCTCTAGTCACTCGATCTAACGACTGAGTCATGTGTCCTTGACGACATCTGTGTATGAAGTTTTTGTACAAATAAATCTAATGCCTCATCATCTTTTTACCAGTGCTCATATTGCAATTTTTCTGTTATTATTATTCCTTTTTTTTTTTTAACAAATCGTATATTGCAATTTTTTTTTGTTATTCATTCTTTTTCTCTAGCACTCCTTATTAATGGTTCCCATATTGTATTCATTTTTACGCTTGGTCGGCTCAGGAGATTTTTGTCGCCGATCAAGCATCAAAATGAATAAAATATGGCAATGAAGATAACGTAAATAATGTAACTATAAATGTCTCTTCTAGCTACACGCTTTCCTATCAACTAAACTATATGGAAATGTCAAATACAATGTCAAATGTCAGATTCTGTCTCTTCAAATTCCGATCATTTTATTGTCTTTTTTTCTCAGTAACGTTTTCCCAGTTGCCTTTACTCTGTTGCCTTTTAAATTCAGTAACCACTTACGACATTGCGAGAAATGATTAAGAAAATAATTCTTAGATTGTTTTCACGATTAAATCTATGTTATTTCTATTCTAAAAATATCTCGTTATCCTTCAAGGTTCGGAATAAGCTGATTACCTCCGCTAAAGATGTTTTAGGAATGTTTTATAATTCTCTGGTAATGATGGAATTGGCGGCCACAATCTTAACAAGGTACGCAGATGACACAATACTGATAGCAGACACGGAAAAGAAAATCTCCTACAGATGGTAGCGACGGAGAGTGAGAAGTAGCTAAACATAAACTACAAGAAGACAGAATGCGTGTTCATCAGTAAGACGAAGAGACCGAAATTCGATTTGCAGGTCGGGAACACTAGAATCAAGCAGACGCGGAAGTTTCAATAATTGGGAAGCGTTTTTAAAGAGGACGGTAAGTGCGACACTGACATCTGTAGACGTATTGGGATGGCCAATGACACATTCCAAAAGCTGGGCAGAGTATTACGAGACAGGAGGATTTCTTTGGTAACAAAGAAAAGAATACTGAGCTATTACGTGACATTTGTCCTTCTTCACGGCAGCGAATGTTGGACGATTTGCTCAAAGATGAAGAAGAGACCCAGGGCGAGAGAGAGGTGGTTCTACAGAAGGATGCTGAGGATATCAAGAACCGAGCGTGTGAGTAAAGATGAGGTTTTAGAAAGTTTTCAAACAAGGAAGAGGCTTATACTCAACATCAGGAAGAGGCAGCTGAAGTACCTGGGACACATGATGAGGAAAAAGTGCCTGGAGAATCTGATACTCACGGGTCGAAGACAGAGAAAGAGAGACAAGGGAAAACAACCCGTGACATACCTGGCGGGCTTTAGCAAGTGGATTACGGAACGTGGTTTTGGGGAGGAAGCAGAGGGAAGGAACTTGTTAAGAGCTGCAAGGGATAGAAGAAGGTGGAGAGCCATGATCGCCTACGTCCTGAAATGACATGGTGCATAAAAAGAAAAGAAAGTAATGCTGGCTTATTTTACTATTACCAAATAGATTTTAATAACCTTTTAACATTTTGAGATGTATCCACCAGTGTAAACTTTACATTTTCACTTTGTGATATACTGTAATGGTAGCAACCAATGAAAGATTTTCGGTAAAATATGAGGAATAATGTCCTCCTGGGCGCGCATAGGAAATAGAATATTAAAATGGATACATTTCATTTATTATTTTAGATATGGTGTCTTGAAATTTCCTTGTTAAACGCGATATTTCCCTACATTGTTCGAACTGTTGTTCTAATCTTTATTATTATGTTCTCGACGTCTCGGCCGTTGTACGCTCCGGCCTTCCTCATGTGATTGGAATTTCGAACTGGAGTAGATTGTTTTAGTTCCAGATGTCTCAGATATTCTCCTTTAACTCAATTCTCACCATTGGCATTGGCAGGTATTGAACTAACAACTCTTTTGGGGCAAGTCACTGGATCCAGCCAGCACTTTTATCCAATGCATAATGTGTCTTTGAGGACAATAAAAATGACGACAACAGTCCGAATAATGTAAACAATGCATGCAATTAAAATACTTCATCTCGGAAATATAAACAGATAACGATATTTCTCAATTACCTTAAAGTAATCAGCGAAGAATAATAAGAAGAAAATAGGATTTAAAATAGCAAGCGATCATTGAGGAATTAAATAAATCTTTAAACATATTATCAAGGATATTTAGATATTCAAAATGATATCTTGATAAGCCAAAATTTACAGAATATATTATTAAAAAGTAATTAAAAATGTTCGAAATTAAACAATATTTTAATTTTCTTTTTAAATATATTTAATTTTTAATTGATTTGATTTATCTAAGAAAGTTAAAACGAAAATATGAAATGTTCAAATTATATTTTAATATATAAAAAATATATATTAAGATTAAAAAAGGCTGGTTAAGATTCGCTTTACCTTTCTCGTTATTTTTTTCCTATTTTTCTTAGACTGTTTCAGGAGTTCTACATTTCTTCGTTTTTCACTTCATTTTGATGATCTATTAAGTCTCTCCCAACTTATATGTGTCTACATATGTTAACTTGACTCCGTTTATATATCTCTGTTGTAATTTCCTCATACCTAAGTATAAGTACCTCCATCAATCCATTTCTATCTATCTATCTATCTATCTATCTATCTATCTATCTATCTATCAGTTTGTCTAGTCCTCCATCCATCTATCTATCTATCTATCTATCTATCTATCTATCTATCTATCTATCTATCAGTTTGTCTAGTCCTCCATCCATCTATCTATCTATCTATCTATCTATCTATCTATCTATCTATCTATCTATCAGTGTAATAATAGCTATCTATCGGTCTATCTCCCTCTACTAATCTTTCTCAACATATTTCTCATTTTAATCATCTTAATCATTTCTATCTATCTATCTATCTATCTATCTATCTATCTATCTATCTATCTATCAGTTTGTCTAGTCCTCCATCCATCTATCTATCTATCTATCTATCTACCTATCTATCTATCTATCTATCTATCTATCTATCTATCTATCTATCTATCTATCAGTGTAATCATAGCTATCTATCGGTCTATCTCCCTCTACTAATCTTTCTCAACATATTTCTCATTTTAATCATCTTAATCATTTCTATCTATCTATCTATCTATCTATCTATCTATCTATCTATCTATCTATCTATCTATCTATCAGTGTAATCATAGCTATCTATATCGGTCTAATCTTTCTCAACATATTTCTCATTTTAATCATCTTAATCATTTCTATCTATCTATCTATCTATTATCTATCAATCATCTATCTATCTATCAGTGTAATAATTTATATCGGTCTATACTAATCTTTCTCAACATCTCTATTTATGATTTTAATCATATCTATTTTACTATCTATCTCAACTCAACAGTACTAAATAAAATTAAGAACTAGACATGAGCAGTTGAGCGAGACAATCTACAACCGTAGATGATTAAATAAAGGAATCAGTTCAGATATTTCCTGTAGGTTAATCAGATTGGTAGTCATCTGAGAAGGATGGAGTGCACAACGGCCGCAACTTTGTGATAAAAACAACAAAGATGAGGAAAAACAGTCCGAATACAAATAGTGGAAATAATGTTAACACCCAATCCCAGAAATTGAATATATTTATTTTTCTATATTCACTTTCATGTTACAATTACAACATTTGTTTTCATCGTCTTTCCAAGTTGGTTGCACAATTTCCAGTGAATAGTGTTGCCATTATTCTCAAGGTAGGTACGAAACGCTATTCTTTTTTCAAACGCTGCCTAAACATTTTTCATCTTTTAACTCTTATTATTATTTCTTTGTCAGGGAACCTGGCCGGAAGTCTCGATTTTAAGTAGGGAATTTTGAGACAGGTAAACAATTTATATTTGCACCTGCTAATAGTTTCATTGGGTGCGACAGTCATTGCGGAGATTTACCGCAGTGCGAAAATAAGTAAGTACTTGTATACAAGAAACTCAGTGGGTAATTGTGACAAAAGAAAAAGTACATATAACAGGTACAGGTAGGGTGCCTACCGTAGTACGATAACTCGCATTTTCATCACATAAACTCATTTCTTTAATGTCGTGAGTTAATTTCCTCAGTTGGGGTACTATTATTATTGCGGCTTTTAATAGAATAAGCTAGACTGACAGAAACAGAAGAAATAAATAGAAAAGATAATGAAGTATATATAAATCCGCACGCACACATAAATACACACACACACACACACGTATGTGTAAATATAAAAGTGATCATTGAAGTCAACACTCAAAGGCGACAGACTGTTTCATGCTAAACACAATCATCAGGCTATGCTTTTAGCATGAAACAGTCTGTCGCCTCTGAGTGTTGACTTCAATGATCACTTTTATATTTACATACGCTCTATCTCTGATATTGAGCATTTTATTCCATAAATATAGCATACATTAAACTATATATATATATATTACGATAAACGTGCAATCAATTTACAAATACATGAATTATTCACACAAAACTAATGCAAAGGTTAATGCTTTAAATGGCGAGACATCCATCATCGCAAACAATTCAAATAGTATAAAAAACGAAAGATCCGTTATGAATAGAATTTCCTTGGATATAAATTTCACATATTTTTATTTTCATCTTATTACTTAAGAGAAAAACCAAGAACATCATTATTATAGAATAGATGTTGTTCTTGGTTTTTCTCTTAGTAATAAGAGGACAAAAATAACTCATTTTCAATAGCAGATTTTCGGATAAACAAGGACAATTCATTCATCGGATCTGGAGGTCATTTTATATACTATTTGAATTGTTTATGATGATGGATGTCTCCTGCCATTTAAAGCATTAACCTTGCATTAGTTTTGTATATATAATATATATATATATATATATATATATATATATATATATATATACATATATATATATATATATATATATATATACATACATATATATATATATATATATACATACATATATATATATATATATATACATACATACATACATACATACATACATATGAAAGAAAATACAGAAAAAACAAAATTCTGAATATGCATTATTAATGTTAAAAATGATCGACGTCGGACGTTTCGGTCTGAATTTAAGACCATCTTCATCGACATTTTCATTTAAACATTATTAAGTTATAATGTTAACAATTTAAAATGAAAATGGACATGAAGATGGTCTTAAATAGACCGAAACGTCCGACGTCGACTTTATTTTAACATTAATAATGTATTCAGAATTTTGTTTTTTCTGTATTTTTCTTTCATACTGTCGGATTTATATCCATATATTTGCTTACATACATACATACATACATATATATATATATATATATATATATATATATATAAACATAAAAGTGAACATAGAAGTCAACACTTAGAGGCGACAGTCTGTTTCATGATAGTCTATCGCTGATATTGAGCACTTTATCCCATAAAAGGGCTGTGGTGAAATAATTTGTTACATGAAACTTTAAAGTGGTCTGTTTTTATTTAAATTATTTTCTCTGGATTTAAATTGAGCTCTCTGGATTTTATCCTCCTTGGGTTTACCCATACGGATTACAATCCGACAGCAAAATGATAGGATAAAGAACAAGAAAGATGATAAAAAGCAAAGAGACACAGGTTGATCGTATGTTGTGTTTGGATATTTCTTATTGCTTAGATATCTGCCTCTTTATATCATCATAGTTGATATTATTGCGTATTGGCCTTTTCCTTTTTTTTATTAATAATGCTTCCATTATCGTTAGTTTTTTTTTAAATAGGGGTGAGGCTATTATATTTTTTATTATCAAGGAGTGTATTTCGACACTATCAGAAAAGAATAGCAATAACTGTAGTAAATTTACAGCGAAAATATTTAAAATTCAATAAAAAAATTGATTAAGGAGAATATTTCCTTACAACTTTAAGATTACTGAGTACTCAAAAAAACTATATATATATATAAAAGATACTCACGTTAATTCATAGAACAACATTATATAAATATCAATCTGTCACCAAGCCGTCAAACCTGCGAACACCTTAAATAAACAGTTATTGTCTGGTTAATAAATGCGTTTTTTCGGTATTTTAAACAATAATAAATAATTTAAATAATATTTATTTCAAATATTATTCCTCAAATAGATTTTCAGAAAAGTATATTTAATTTAAAACTAAAATAAAAGCTTCAAGAGAGATTTTTCATTTTTTAAAAAAATAATTCTAAAATTTAGGCATCATTTGATTTTGTTTTTATGTTTTTTGGAAGTACCTATTTAAAACTTAAGATGTATAATTAATTGATAATTGTGTAATTCGACGAAGCATAATGGCTAGCAAGCTTGCCTCACTAAATCAGTTACGATTGTGTAATAAGTTCCATACTTACAGTTGAACCGAGAACATGGCATAAATAATGCACAAAACATCCTTTACAAATAATAAATACGCACACAGCACAATACTTTCTAAACATATCTGGGAGATTAAGAACAAAACACAAATAAATAATCACTCCAAGAATATCATGGAAAATAACAAAAAGAACATTAGCCTACAACAATCAATACAAAATTGTAAAATTTGCCTGGAGGAAAAATAGTTATAATTATCTTCCCAAACCAAAACAAAATACTAACTAAACGATCAGTGCTCATCTCTAAATGCAGACACAAAAAAAAATGTTTACTAAGTTACTTAAAAATCGAAAACTGAAAACGAACAAGAATAAATGACAATAAATAAAATAAATTAAATAAACACAAGTAAAATTAATCTAATTAAATAAAACTAAGTGAATAATAAACAAATTAATAAACCACACCTCCAAAATAACCGTTAGAATAATAGAATAGACTACCTACAATGCAATAGAATACCCACAATGCATCACTGACTTGTATAAAAAGTCGCGCAAAACCTCAAAGCACGTGGCTTGTCGCATGCATTTAGCATGAAACAGGCTGTTGTCCACTTGTATTTACATACGCTTTATCCCTATTGATCACTTTAACACATAAATACAGCATACCTTAAAATATATATTTTATTTTATATATATATATATATATATATATATATATATATATATATATATATATATATACATGTCCAGAGAGTTCAAGCAAAAATTATATTTTCTAACAGAACAACTCTATTACACATGTATAGGGCGAGCCCAATAATTTTGATTGCAAAGGTAAGTTATTGAAGCACAAATATTTTTGTTTTTAATCGATTTTGCTCCAAGCAAGGCAATAATGACACTGAGAAACAGGGTGTAACTGGGTGTGTGGGAATTAGAAACAAAAACATTGCTAAGGAGCGAGAACAAACGAAGAGTAAACAGGTGGACTGTAAATAGCGACTGACATTGCATTTATATTATCAAATTAAATTATCAAATTAAATTATCATTTAAATTTAATTACTATAAATTATATATTATGTTAAAATATTATATAAATTTTAATTATATTTTAAAATTCAAATTATTATCATATGATATCATGTATATATATGAGTTTTGGTTTAAACATGAACTTGAAAAAGTCTTGGATATTGTTAGTTATCATGAAGCAGACTTATTAGCACGGATTCATAAGACAGAATAAGCGATATACCGAAGCATCAGTTCTTTTAGAATATAACCTAAAGATAAACATGAATTTAATCATTTTGATAACAGTGAAAAATCGTTTCATATATAACATGCCTTCTTTCATTCGGGGGATATATTGAGAGAAATTTTGCGTCATTCAAGGCTATTTGTTATATCAAAGTACGGAGATACATACGAAAAGGTCAACACTATTGTTACAGAAACGTTTTTCTCATAAAAAAATTCTAAATAAATGTATAAACTTTGAAGTCTACAACATATTTCCCTTCCGTCATTTTTCCATTTTCTGTCCTCTTGAAAACCGCAGATCGAGATAACATCAATGTTACCCTAATTTGCTGGTTAGAAACAAGGAAGAGATTTTGGCGAGAAAATGCGAGATTTAATCTCTTTAGACTGTCAATATCTATTTCTTTTATTTAATTAGTTCCGTTCAAGAAACACGTTTTCAGCGAGAACTGTTTATATTTATGTACATTATTATTATTATTGAAGAAACTCCTTTTTTAGGTACATTATTGCCTAGTGGCAACCAGGCACTTGGAGC